TCACTTGATATCAGTGGTGGGTTTTCGTTTTATATCTCGCATATATTCTGGTAAATTAACATAAATTACAGAGGTTTATAGCAGTCACGATCCGTATAAGAAGACAACAAAACAATAAGAAAACAACAAAACAATAAGAAATGGCGCGAATCTCCGTTAGTCCGTACCAGGACATCACAACAAAGTCAAACTGAAATAAAGATTTTTACTGTAGGTCTACATTGCTTTTAGTAAATTTGCGTGTTTATAACAGAGGAACCATGAAGAAAATGTGAGTACATCTTGATAAGAAATGCCAGGAAAAACCCAAATATGCCAGAATATGCCAGTTCCTTATCTTATGCCAGTTCAATTACAAATATGCCAGATTTGTGGAATCTGGCATAAAAAATGTCAATATGGCAACCCTGGTTGAATTCGTAGCTCAAAGATATGGGACAGTTGTTCTACCTACAATTTTCTCTACTACTTCTTCCTCGCCTCTCCTCCTTCTTCCTATTCTTTATTCGGAATTCCAAACCCTTGAGATTCACTGCTGCAGTATCCCAGGCATCCATTCAAGCAATTTCCAGTTGGTGGCTCCAATTAAATGTAGGTCTACCTGTATATTATCTCTCCATCGTGTATTACCAGACTACGACTGGTACCCTTAGTTTTGAATTTAAGTTGGCTGCTGAGGATGGGGACAGAGCGCGTATGGGAATGCCCCGCGTGCTGTAATGTCAATTCTGAACTCAACCCCGCTGTGTTTTTGTGGATCGATTGTGGTCTAGCGGCCAGACGCTCGCCTGCAGATCAGAAAGTCGTTGGTTGAAGTCTTTTTTTTCTCCAAAAATGACACTGGCTTCCACGTCGATTTAACCTTAAATGGATACAGGTAAAAACCTGGAGAGTAACGATGGACATTATAATGTTGACCAAAGCACAAACGAGTGCCACTGGTCCGTAAACTATACAATAAATGAATCAAGAATTGACATCATTGTGCTCGGGAATTCCCAAACCAGGCCATAACACAAGCGATAAACACTCGTTGACACAAAGTGCCACCATGCGGATAAAGATCACCCGAGGAGAGGTCTCAAAAACCATTTTCAGCCGTTATGCCATATCTATGCCCCGGCTATATTCAGGGCCCCCGGTAGAAGCCAGAGTGGGGCTTCCAAAAAAAAAAAAAAAAAATTCATTCCACATGGGGACGACTTCATATTTCAAAAAAAAAATAAAAAAAATTAAATACTAGCTAATCTCTGAAAACTTTAAAATATATACATATTTTGAAAATATGAATAATGAGAATATATTTTAGTTAAATTTTTAGTAAAAGAAATAATAAAGAATGATTCTGCAAAATCACAGAAATTCAATAATATAATCCTCTTAGGGGTTTTATTTAAAAAAATTAGAAGAAAAAAAAAAAAAAAAAAAACCGCATGCACATACAAACAAATTTGTTGAGGCTCTTGCTGAATCTGGTGTTCTAATCTGCAGGTTAGTTTGCTTACGCCTAAATCCAGGACTGGCCTCGTGCATTTTCCTTTCTGCCAGTGGTATTGAGCAGGCTTTGTGCAGAGTGGCAAGCATTGCTTCAGTGGTCCCTAGTATTTAGCGTCTTTTTGATATTTTCTTCAGGGAATGCTGGTGTGTTTGGGAAACAAGCAGGCAGAGGATGGCAGCTAGTTCTGCACCACCTGGTGGTGAAGATGTATGCCAAGCTAGCCGTTGTTAGGGCCCTTGAGGAATGAGTGAACAGTGCGTAGGCACAAATAGATCATTACGGTCTGAGGTGAAGGACGCTGTGAGGGATTACCAGGGAATCTGGCCGATGCTCAACACTCAAGGGAAAGGCGAGACGGATATACAACCAGACAGTTATTGGAACTGGAACCCTTTGCTTGCTGCAGAAGATGAGGACACAGCGCTTATGGGAGTGTCCTGAGTGCTGTGATGTTGATTCTTAATTCAACATTTTCATTTTTGCGCTCGTCCTGTGTTAACTCTTTCAGAAGCAAAAACTCACCACATGTTTCTTGGTAGATCCAAAGAGTAAATGATTTTCTTATTGCCTTATATCATAGAAAGTTGTCGCATTAACCCATTTTATTTGATTTAATAGTTAAAACTACTTCTGTCCCATAATGCCCCCCATCCAACACTTTCAGAAGTAAGTATTTAATACTTTTATTCCCTGTATGGGTTCCGGGGCTCTGTTTTGGAGAACTAATAGAACCACTGCTCCCTAACAAGCATGTCATAAGAGGCAACTAATTATGGGTGTTTCCTTCAGAATCAGAGTGCATCTGTCTAAGAGGCTAGGAACCAACAAATTGACCCTGGCTCCCAGGTCAACCTAGCATAAAATACACACATTGCTCTATATGAGGCCTTTTGGGATATTAAGAGGTGAGCTGAACAGAAGCACAGGCAAAAGTCTTCTTCTTCTTAGAGTCCATGCCATGTGACATTGGTAGCCATGTCTATCCACAACCTTCTGTCTTGTGTACTTTCAATCAACTCTGACACAGATGATCTTCCATGTCATGTCGTCAAACTGTCCAGCAAGTGTTCTTTTGGTCTCCCTCGGCCTGCCCTCCTCTTCAACTTTCCTACCGTCACGATGTACTCCAGTTTTCTCCTTCTCACCACATGACCAAAGATTGTAGATTGTCTCTTTCTGATGTGTGCAATCAGTCCTCTTCATAAGCTAGTTTCTTTCATGACATCTTCATTCTCCGCAGCTTCCAAATAAGTTTTCACTCATTTACTAACTGTCAATGTTTCACACCCGTATTTCGATATAGGATTTATATTAGGGCTGTACCGAATAGTGATTTTCGAATAGTGCATAATGTATAAAATATATATATTTTTTTAAACCGCATTCATAATGTCAAATGTACGCTGAACTTTTACTTCACATAAAGTAGCACAGAATAGTCATCTTCTTCTTTAGCATTCTGAGCCCTTGAGGTTTACTGCTACAGATATCACTCGTCTCCATTCATCTCTCTCGCTGACCTTATCTTCACAATTTGTGACACCAGTTGTTTGCAGATCTGGCTAGGCATTATTTCGCGTACTTATTTTTTGTCTGCCTCATGGTCTATGCCCATTTCTCTCTCAGGTGTATACAGTTTTTACTTCTCTGTCATCTGACATTCTTTCAATATGCCCAACCATTTTAGTCTGTTGGCTCTCGTGATGCAAGTGATCAATGGTGATTTAAACAGATTATGTGTTACGTTGTTGCTTCTCACTCTCCATTCCCCGCTGTTAGCATCTTTGATGGGTCCAAAGATTTGTCGTAAGACTGTTTTTGAAAACCTGTAATAAGGCCTCATCTCTTTTATTTCTGCTTCAAGTTTCAGAGCTATATAAAATGACTGGTCTTTTCAACATTTTATATATTTTGATCTTGTTGTTGCGAGACAGACACTTTGACTTTAGCAGATGTTGAAGGGCATAGTATACTTTATTTCTAGATTGTATTCTAGATTGTAATTCTTCTCTCAACATGTTGGAACAGTTGAAGTTTGCACCCAAGTACTTATATGTTTCCGTTTGTTTGATTTTCATATTATCAACTTGGATGTGGCCGGAGTTTATATTTTTTCCATGTCTAGTTAGTATTCGTACAGAATAGTAAACATTTAAAAACATTTTATGTTCTGCATCCTTCAGTCAGTCTGTGGTAACTAAAAACTAGGATTGAAAGAATCCTAAGTATTATAACAAGTAACTAAACTTGGAAATTGTCACTGACAGCTTAGTTAATGCAGGAAAGCTGCATTAGCTTTCAACAAAACCAATCGTTCAATGTTGTCAGCATTAAGGCTGTGTATGCAGAAGCGGGTGTAAGGTAACTACTATTCGTATTCGGCCCGACCGCAACTATTCGGCCGAATACCGAAGTCAATAGGTCCACTATTCGGCCCGAAGCGAATATTCGGTACAGCCCTAATTTATATAGCTTTTAAGGCAGAAATCATTGTAAGATATTGTTTATGCTATTTTTGGACTACTCTAGTTTTCGGAAGGAGTTAACTCTTAATTACGAAATAAGAAACAGAGTTCATATTTAGGAATTTCCTTTGAAGTCGGAGTGCATCTGCCTGAGAGGAAAGGAACCAATAGTCTGCACACAAATAAACAAGATATTTAAAATGATGTGCATGCAACACTCAAGTCTTGGAACAAGGCCGAAGTCCAGAAGTAGACAAGCAGTGCTTGGACTTTCTGCTGGAGTTTACAGCCAGTAAGTTAGTTAGTTGCGTATCCTTTACAGGACGTTGCAGAACCAACCCTAACAGCCCCTGGCTGTTGTGTGGTTTCTCTTGGCAAATTTACGTCCAGTAGTTTGCCATTGCTTACTGGACGGTCGGCTTTCTTGATACCACTGTCGAAACCAACGCAAGGCGCATTGCCCGCAACTGGGATCGAACCCGGCATCCCGGCATTTCGAAGCGAAGCGTTCGCATCGACTTAGCCACAGAGCCGACACAGCCAGTAAACACAGAGAAAAAGAATATTTAGGAAATAAAATTGATATTAAATAAGCAAAAGTCAAATAACAAACACATAAAATGTTATAGGAGTTATGTTTTACAGAATGTATTTATACATTTCATATACCGTAATTTCAATTATATTCATCTGCCATTCAACACATTATCATTATTATGTACCTAAATATGGTGTAGGTCCTTCAGCTCCTTAGCTCCTCAGAAAATGTGTAAAGGGGCCAACCTACACCCTTCCCCCCCCCCCCCCCATGTTTTCTGAGTTGGTGCTCCCTGTACGTGGTGCACCATAGGCCTGACAAAACAAATAAACATACACAGCAATACAATAACAAAGTTTATGAACCAATACATTTAAAGCCAACGTCACTTTTTAAAAAAAATAGTAGTAATTTTATTTACATCTCCAACAAGCATGCATGCAAAGAGCTGCCAAAAGATCATTTTTGTTTTTATGGCTATACTTTGATGTCATAAACTCTAGTACTTGAAAACACCAAAGGCTGCAGTCACACAGAAGAGAGAATCCTGAAAATAGAAATGATGTTGTGTGAGACTGCAGTGCAGTGTGCAAGATGATGTAACATATTACCCTAGTACCCAAGATGTACTTTAATGTACTATATTACCTCAGTGTCAGAGATGATGTAACATATTATTTCAGTGTCAGAGAGGGTGTAACCAAACTATCTTAGTATCAGAGATGATGTAACATATTATTCGGTGTCAGAGATGATGTAACCAAATCACCTCAGTATCAGAGATGATGTTACATATTATTCAGTGTCAGAGATGATGTAGCCAAACAATCTCAGTATCAGAGATGTTGTAACATATTATTCAGTGTCAGAGATGATGTAGCCAAACAATCTCAGTATCAGAGATGATGTAACATATTATTCAGTGTCAGAGAGGATGTAACCAAACCACCTCAGTATCAGAGATGATGTAACATATTATTCAGTGTCAGAGATGATGTAACCAAACTATCTCAGTATCAGAGATGATGTAACATATTATTCAGTATCAGAGATGATGTAACAAATTATTCAGTGTCAGAGATGATGTAGCCAAACCATCTCAGTATCAGAGATGTTGTAACATATTATTCAGTGTCAGAGAGAATGTAACCTATTATTTCAGTGTCAGAGATGATGTATTATATTATTTCAGTGTCAGAGAGGAAGTAACATATTAACTCAGTGTCGGAGGTGATGTAACATATTATTTCAGTGTCAGAGATGATGTAACATTATTTCAGTGTCAGAGATGATGTAACATATTATTTCAGTGTCAGAGAGGAAGTAACATATTAACTCAGTGTCAGGGATGATGTAACACTATTTCAGTGTCACAGATGATGTAACATATCATTTCAGTGTCAGAGAGGAAGTAACATATTAACTCAGTGTCAGAGGTGATGTAACATATTATTTCAGTGTCAGAGATGATGTAACATTTTATTTCAGTGTCAGAGATGATGTAACATATTATTTCAGTGTCAGATGATGTAACATATTATTTCAGTGTCAGAGAGGAAGTAACATATTAATTCAGTGTCGGAGGTGAAGTAACATATTATTTCAGTGTCAGAGAGGAAGATACATATTAACTCAGTGTCGGAGGTGATGTAACATTATTTCAGTGTCAGAGATGATGTAACATATTATTTCAGTGTCAGAGAGGAAGTAACATATTAACTCAGTGTCAGAGGTGATGCAACATATTATTTCAGTGTCAGAGATAATGTAACATATTATTTTAGTGTCAGAGATGATGTAACATATTATTTCAGTGTCAGAGATGATTAAACATATTATTTCAGTCTCAGAGAGGAAGTAACATATTAATTCAGTGTCGGAGGTGAAGTAACATATTATTTCAGTGTCAGAGAGGAAGATACATATTAACTCAGTGTCGGAGGTGATGTAACATTATTTCAGTGTCAGAGATGATGTAACATATTATTTCAGTGTCAGAGAGGAAGTAACATATTAACTCAGTGTCAGAGGTGATGCAACATATTATTTCAGTGTCAGAGATAATGTAACATATTATTTTAGTGTCAGAGATGATGTAACATATTATTTCAGTGTCAGAGATGATTAAACATATTATTTCAGTCTCAGAGAGGAAGTAACATATTAACTCAGTGTCAGAGATGATGTAACATTTTATTTCAGTGTCAGAGATGATGTAACATATTATTTCAGTGTCAGAGATGATGTAACATATTATTTCAGTGTCAGTGATGATGTAACATTTTATTTCAGTGTCAGAGAGGAAGTAACAAATTAACTCAGTGTCAGAGGTGATGCAACATATTATTTCAGTGTCAGAGATGATGTAACATATTATTTCAGTGTCAGAGATATTTAAACATATTATTTCAGTCTCAGAGAGGAAGTAACATATTAACTCAGTGTCAGAGATGATGTAACATATTATTTCAGTGTCAGAGAGGAAGTAACATATTAACTCAGTGTCAGAGGTGATGTTACATATTAACTCAGTGGGCTCTACTGGCAAATCCGGACGAAGAATAAACAGCCTTGGACGACTTAGTCAGAGTTCTCTCCCGTGTCCGCACTCCAAACAGTGATCGGAAAAGCCACAACGAAACAAAGAAGACAGTCATGTCGACATCAGGGCTGCCAATGCTTGGTTGTTTCCCCCAGATCTGGGGTTTTTTTCGACGCTGCAGGACAATTCTGGGTGTTTTTTTTTTTTTGGGTGTGTTTTGTTTGTTGGTGTTTGCCGATTTGTATGCTTTAATGATCGATAAATTTGCGTGGTTAGGGGGGTAGGGGTTAGGGTTAGGGAGTAGGATTAGGATTAGGGTTAGCGGTAGGGTTAGGATTAGCGTTAGATTTGACAATTTTGACGCCGGAGTTCCCTATAATCGCGCACAGTCCCATACACACACACAAACAATCGAGGGCCTCTGGATGCTGGTCACACGCACAATTCGCCAACGATTGGGGGCACCAGCCGCACGCTATTGGCGTCATATTTGGCAGAGTTTCAGTGGCGCCACTCCCACAAACATCATATTGTCGGCCAGTATTTCGAAATCCTACGTCAAAATTTTCACATCCAACCCTAACCCTAACCCTAACCCCACCCCTACCCCTAACCCTAACCCTACCCCTAACCCTAACCCTACCCCTAACCCTAACCCTACCCCTAACCCTAACCCTACCCCTAACTCTAATCCAACAACCGCATTATGATGATTACACAACCATTCACAATGCCTCACGCAACCGTACGCAACTGTGCACGCAACCATATGATGATGTCACGATGTCTCACGCAACCGTACGCAGCCCTACACGCAACCGCAGGATGATAGGTAAGTGTGTCGTTTGTTTCGTTTGTTTTCCGATCACTGTTTGGAGTGCGGCGACGGGAGATAACTCTGACTAAGTCGTCCAAGTCTGTTTATTCTTCGTCCGGATTTGCCAGTAGAGCCACTCAGTGTCAGAAATCATGAAACATATTACCTCAGTTTCGGAGATAGTGAAACATATTACATCAGTGTCAGAGATGATGTGACACACACCTTATTACAGTTGATGCAATACATTACCTTTTTGTCAAAGATGATGTCACCTCAGTGTAAAAAAATACAAAACACCTACCTCTTGTGAGAAATGATGCATCACATTATCTTAGTGTCAAAGATGATGAAACCAACAATTTCACTTTCAAAGATGGTATAACTCATTACTTCAATGTCAAAGATGATGCATCATATACGATGCAACATATAAATATAGTATCCAGCATGATGAAATACATTACCTCAGTGTCAAAGAGAGATAAACAGGCAGAGAGAGAAAAGAAAATATGCTAATGGTTTTGTCAAAAGTACAAATATCCTGATGGTCTTGTCAAACAGGATGGTAAACATAAAAAAAGTGTATCAAGAGAATAAAACTACCAGCCTGAGATCTCTAAAGCATGTGATTACAGCAACATTCCAAGGGACCTAATCCTACTGACTGAACTACCAGATACATTTCAAACAAATGGTAGCCAAAAATATTCATTCATATTCCGTTTTTCAGGGCCTTAGTTTCTGTTCCTGAGTTTTCACCAGTCTGATGGTCCACTTTGAGGTCTGTCTTCATTGTAGTGAAGTAAATTTGCTCCTTCAGGAACTTTTCTGTTAAAAGACAATCCTCTTTAATGACCATGTCAGTCAAATTAAACTTGGATAGGAACCACCAAACCAAAACATGCTACAGTTGGCAAGCTATACTCTTAGTTTCAGCTTTATAGCAAACGGGTCACCCCATAGTTGCTCCGCTCCTGTGCCAACGAAAAACACATGTAGCTCACAGTGTCACGCCATGCACTCAACTCAGAAGCTGGGCGACGAAACTATATCCTTCCAGTCTACAAATGGAGCAAAAATGCAACAGCCACCGTCTGGCAGAAAAAAAAAAAGGTGGCCATGCCTAGTGTCCATTTTGACCTGAAGCATTATATGAGGGTTAATAAACGGTCACCCCAGCAGTACCCTCATTATTAGCTGGGGAAGGGACTTGGGACATTACATCCACCAGCAGGCCTCGCCCCTACAACGACCTGCCTGCCTTTGTTAACGACTGTTCACCCAACAGCCATGCAGTTCTTTGGCACGAAGAAGACACCTTGAACTTGAGTTTCGGACTGCCGACTCCCTACAAGATGTTATTTTATGTTTTGTTATCACACTTGATGTCACTGCACATTGGGCATACCCATGCGTGCTCAGTTCTCCGAAGCAGCAGCCACTCCAAAGTACTTCTACTAATTGTCCCCATGAGAAGCTGGTTATATCGTCTCCTTTCTCGGCCCCGAAGACGGCAAAGACGTGCATCACCATGCTTAACTCCCATGTCACGCAATCGTGTTAGTGTCAGGGATTCCTCATTCTCCACTAGCCCAGTTTGTACAGCTATTTTGATCAATATCATCAGGCAACTTGGGTTCCAAACAGGGCATTTTTTTCTATTCAAAAGGTGCCAGCACTCATCACCATGTGTCTGGTAGGGTGCCAGTGCTCATTACAAAGTATCTATTACACTAGCACTGAAAAACTGATGACTTAAAAAACAAAAACGCTGCTGGTACTGCATACTGTTGCAGACCACCAGGAAAACTTTCTACACTTGATTTATCATCACCATGTACCCTGCAAGGTGGCACAGGTATTCATATGATTCTCCAAATCAGTTCTACTGATCAGTTCTAAGTCAATCCAGCATTATTTCTCTATGTCTACCTCAGCCTCTTCTACAGCTGATCTTTCCCATCCCCCATTTTCACAGTATTCTCCAAAGCACTTATTTTCATCAGATTTCCATCTATTGTCTTTCTCTGCTTAATGCTGTTAGGTGTCACAGGCTTGGCTAATGACTGGTTTCCGGGATAGTGCACGCGTGTTAGCTTGCTGCATGGTGATATTGTTGAGTTTCAGCAAGTTGTTAACTCCATCAATCCATATTCTTCTTTGCCTTCCTCTGCTCTTGATGTTTTTTTTCTCAAGTTGTAATCAGAAAAGAATCAAAAACTGTGTCTCTTTTTAACAGTTGTAAATAATGTTCTTATTTCATTAGCCACCCCCACCACGTAATCACTCAAGTCTGAATCCTCATCAAGGCAGATATTTTTGTTTAAAAACTGACCTTGGTTCCAAGTTCGACCAAGTCTAAAACGTGCACTAAATAATGTCATGGAAGGTAAAGCCTCAATCACCCACCAAGTGCCGATTGGTCTATACCAGTGTTTCCCAAATTTTCTTAGTTGCAGCGCTTTTTTTCAATTACAATTTTTCCACAGCGCCCTAACCGAAGTAAAAGTATGACTTTTCGTATGTAAGAGATAAAAAAAAACAACCTGTGTATCTTTGAATATTTTGCGGCGCCCCTGTGAAGAAGTCGTGGCTCCCCAGTTTGGGAATCACTGTCTATACAAATATGAGCATCATCTGCGTGATGCACTACTGGTGTGAAATGGGTTCTTTACATTGCAAAGTTACCCAAGCTGAGTAGGATATATATAATATTTGACTCATAAAACAAATCGCCACAGACTCTAATCTGCTCTTAATGTCTTCATTCACATTCCAAGATTCACTGCCCTCAAGCAGAACAAGCTTGTAGATAGTTGGCTAAATACTTACATTCAGGCGTTTATTCTCAAAAAAAGGATGCCAGTACTCACCACAATGTGTCCTAAAAAGGTACTGGTACTCATTACAAAGTTTTTTATTACAGTACCACTGAAAAAAATCATTCCATTTAAAAAAAAGGTGATGGTGATGTGTACAGCTGCATACTGCTAGAAAACAGCTTTGCTTACATTTATAAAAATATCTTGTGCATAATTATCTGTATCAGAGTCCCAGAAACATCTACAAGCCATCCTGGAAAAAAAATAAACCAACAGAACAAGAGAATAAATCAAGTACAGCAGACACAGCTTAAAGAGGACAACAATGGATGTTTCAACAAAAATATTCTTAGAGATATCCAAACTGGCAAATTCTAACTAGAATGGGTTAGTAGCATCCAGAAGTTCCCCCCTCTCCCCCTTTAAGAAAATATCTTGGCTGTATACACCAGGATATGAAACAGTGAAAGGAAATGAAAGAGCCAACAGACTGGCCATGTCTGTGATAGTAGAGGAAGAAGTATAATCAGGGTTGAATGTTCCACAATCTAAAGATCATGAACCGCCTGTTATTTTTCTTCTGCCTTCTATCCCCCCCCCCCCCCCCCCAATGGACTGCCCAGCTAGCTAGCTCAGTTGGTTAAACCTGACTGTGATGCGACCAGGTGACGAACTCCTTGTGGTCTGGGTTCACGCCGGGGGTAGGCAGAAAAGCCAAATTTCTCCCAGATTTATGGTATCTATCATGGAATCAAGGATAAAGGGTTGTGATATCCATAGTACCGAGCCAAAAGAGTTAACAACTCATGGTTTCTGGATATAAAAAATTTTTTTTAATCCCTCAATGGAGCACAGGCTTTCAATCAACTTACACCAAGTTGTCCTATTATTTGCCTATTGTCTGCAGCTCTCCCCATGTCTTCCACATTTTTTTAACTTTACTCTTTAGCTCTCTTCTCTGTGTGTTTTTTAGACTTCCTTTATTTCTATGCCTCTGTGGGTTCCAATGCAAAGACATTCTAGTTATTTTGTTCTCAGGTTTTCTCCAGGTGTGTCCTATCCAACGTCAGCATCCGTTCTTCAGCCTTTGGTCCACTAGGACTTGTTTAGTTCTCTCCCAATGCTCTATATTAATGATTCTATCATACCATTTTCCCTATAATCTACATGTGGTAAGATTGATGCACCGGGGAGTGACGAGAGGTTCTGGCAGATGCTCGAAGCTCAGAGGAAAGGCAAGATGGACGTTTAATCAAAATGCTACTGGCACCATTAGTATCGGAACTCTTCGCTGGCTGCTAAAGATGGGGACGGAGCGCTTATGGGAATGCCCCGAGTGCTGTGATGTCGGTTCTTGAATCAAATCAATCAATCAATATTCTACATAGGCACCAATTAATGAAAGCTAGTAGTTTATTAGTAATTGCTTAAGTTGTTATCCATGTTTCCGCTCCATACAAAAGTACTGATTTGACATTAGAATTTAACATTTTAAGTTTAGCATTAGTTATAATTTCTTTTGTCCTCTACAAATTCCCTAGTGCTAGGAAAGCTCCTCTTGCCTTTGGTATTTACTGGAAATAAGGATTAAACAAGCACATGCATGCAGAAACCAGTTGTGGTGCGAAGAAAGAAGATATGCCAGTCAACTTCTACTGGGTACAATGAGAATGAGACTGAGCTGGGTGCTGCATCGGAGGATAGAGCACGAATGGGTTGGACCAATGTGCTAGGATGTCGATATGGATAATAAATTATCTTTCAACTAGCTGCTGTCTCCACAATGAAAGCTGGCTGCAGGAGATACCCAATACTCTAGCTCTAGCTGCAGAGTCTCTCAGACTGCTATTAATCTTTCTTATATTATCTTTCTACTCTGAGAGTATGTTGAGAAAGGTGACGACAGGCATGCTCTGTGGTGCAGAGTGGCATGCATTGCTTCAGAGGTCCCAGGTAGTTAGCGTCCCTTGGATATTTTTTCTAGGTTACACTGGTGTGTTTGGAATTGAGCAGGAAGATAGACTGGCCAGTTCTCCACCACTAAGTAGTGAACTGATATATGACAAACTAGATGTTGTGAGGGCTCTTTAGGAGTGGGTGAACAGTGCCGAGGCACAAACAGATCATTAAGGTCTGAGGAGAATGGAGCTGCAAGGATTAACCAGAAGATCTGGCCGACGCTCAACACTCAAGGGAAAGGTGAGATGGATGTACAATCAGACAGTTACTGGTACCATCGGAACTGGAACTCTTCGCTTGCAGCTGAAGATGCGGACGGAGCGCTGCTGAGAGTGTCCTGAGTACTATGATGTCGATTCTTAATTCAACATTCTTTCTACTTGTATTGCCGTATTGTATCAGTCTCTTCTTCTTCTGCATTTCTATCCTCCAATGGAGCATAGGCCCTCAACCAACTCACGCCAAGTCGTTCTATCCTTCGCCATTACATGGAGCTCTCCCCATGTCCTCCCAATCTTTCTAACCTCATTCTCCAGCTCTCTTCTCCATGTGTTTTTTGGCCTTCCTTTATTCCTATGCCCCTGTGGGTTCCAATGCTGTTCTCCTGTTTTCTCAGTGTGTGCCCTATCCAACGCCAGCGTCTTTTCCTCACCTCCTGATCCACTGGAGCCTGTTTAGTTCTCTCCCAAAGTTCTACATTAGTTATTCTATCATACCATTTTATTCCCTCTATTCTGCGCAGGAACCAGTTAATGAATGTCTGTAATTTATTAGTAATTGCCTATGTTGTTCTCCATGTTTCCGCCCCATACAATAGTACTGATTTGACATTAGAATTAAAAATTTTTAGTTTAGTATTTCTTTTAATTTCTTTTGACCTCCACAAATTCCCTAGTGGTATGAAAGCCCCTCTTGCCTTTTGTATTCTTATTTTAATATCTCTATCAGTTCCTCCATCTTTATCTACATTACTGCCTAAATAGGTGTACGACTCCACGTCTTGGAGTGGGGTGCCATTAAGAGAAACCACATTACTATTTGCCTAATTTATTCTCATTATCTTTGTCTTTCCTTTATGGATTTTCAGACCAAGCTGCTGTGATCTCGCATTAAGTATATTTAATTTATCTTGTATCTGATTCCGTGAATGGGACAGAAGGGCAATATCATCAGCGAAGTCTAGAACATCAAGCTGTTTTGTAGGGGTCCACTGAATTCCATTCTTGGTGTTAGCAGTTACTGTTTTCATAGTCCAGTCTATAGCCAGTAAAAATAGGAGAGGCGACAAAAGACATCCCTGTCGCACACCTGTTTTTATTTCAAATGCATCTGTTAGCTTTCCCTCATGAAGAACTCGACATTTCATGTCTTTATATGTTGCCTTTACTAAGTTGATAATTTTCTGTGGGATTCCATAGTGCCCCATCAATTTCTAGAGAGATTCCCTATAAATGCTGTCAAATGCTTTTTCATAGTCCATAAATCCAATGTAAAGTGGTGAGTTCAGTTCAGTTGCTTTGCTCTATTATAATATGTAATGTGGCTATCTGATCAGTACAGGATCTGTTTGACCGAAAACCTTAGCAAATCTCTTAGCATTTTATCAATAGCATCTTTTAATCTTTCCAAAATAATTCTACTTAATATTTTTCCAGGAACTGACAGCAACATAATTCCTCTATAGTTTTCACACTCCTGTAGATCACCTTTTTTGGGCAGTTTCACAAGATATCCTTCTCTCCAGTCTGCTGGTATTTCTTCGGTCTCCCAGACTTTACTGAATAATCTATGTAGCAATTCTGTTGATGTGTTTTTGTTGGTCCTGATGGCTTCAGCTGGGATACCATCTGGGCCTGACGCCTTTCCTTCCTTAAGAAGATTTATTGCTTTTCTAATTTCCTCTTTCGATGGTATCTCACAGTTGATATCCAGTTCCATTTCTAAAGGCTGGATATCTGGGGGAACCTCTGGGCCTGGTCTATTTAGAAGCATTTCAAAATATTCAACCCATCTGTCCATTTGATCTTTAGTGTTAGTAAGTACCTTTCCTTGACTATTTTTGATTGATCCAGTTGACTGACTATACTTACCTACTAATTTTCTTGTGTTACTGTAAAGTTCTCTGAGGTCCTTTTGCTGCTGCTGTCTCCGCTTCTTGTGCTAGATCATTTAGATATTTCACTTTATCTGCCCTTATATGCCTCCTAATTCCTTGTTGGCTTCTGTGTAATTCTCCTGAGCTCTAGCTTTAGCAGCTCTATCTAGTTTTGCTATTGTTTAATTCTACCTTTTTACTTTTCCTATCTTCAATCAGTTTAATGGTTTCTGGTGTTATCCATGCTTTATGTTTCCTTTCTTTCTTGCCAAGAACTTCTACGCAAGATTCATTCCAGATTCCTTTGATCTGATCCCAGCAGACTTCTGTGTTGACATCTTCAGCTAACTGCTGCAACACCTGGTACTTATTAGAGACCGTAACTGAGAACTATTCCTTAATTTCTTTATCTCTGAGAAAGCCTACATTATATTGGTTTCTATGATTATAAGATGTTATATATCTTTTTAGTTTCAACTTGATTTTACTTATCACCAGGAAATGGTCAGTAAATACATCGGCACCTCTGAAAGCCCTAACATCGTAAAGGGATGATCTAAACTTTTTGTTAATACATATGTGGTCAATTTGAATAGTTGTCTTATGGTCTGGTGATTCCCATGTTGCCTTGTGTATTCTTTTATGGAGAAAAATACTTCCACCAATAACATACTGGTTACCTGCACAAAAATTTGTGAACAATTCTCCATTTTCATTCATTACTCCTAGACCATGTCTACCCATAATTTCTTCATAACTTGTGTTGTCTGATCCTATCTTAGCATTCAAGTCACCCATCAAAATTTTTAAGTTACCCTTTCTTTCATTATTTATAATATTTTGAAGCTGCATGTAAAATTCTTCCTTAACAGATGCATCTTTATCATTTGTTGGTGCATAACATTGTATTACCGACATGTTCACCTTCTGTTTTACTGTTCTATCAGTCTCTAGCTCACTCAATTTAACTTTTCCCTCCATACTCGGTATTTAACAGACTGATATTATTTTCACTTTTACCTTCTTTCTTTAAAAAAATGAAAAATTCATTAAGAACATCTTTTAGTTTTATCAGAACTGCTGCATATGTTAATTGTTTTTTTGTTCTTATGATATATGAACGAAAAACTGGGTCGTGACCCCTTGAGAATTCTCAAAAGAAATATGTTTAAATACAATTTTACACAGGTCGCTAAAACATTTTTAAAAAAATGAGTATACATGCATTTGTACAATTTACTTCAGAAATATATAAAGATATATAAACAGAGTAATCGATAAACATGAGAAAAGAGCAGCCTTAAAAGGAACACATGCCCTCGGGCATTAAATATATGTATTAGGCAACTTATGTCATGACTCTATGACTTCAATCACTGACACATAAGAAAATTTGACACCATCTTGGCTTTAAAAAAAACAACTTTGCTTTGAATTACCTCACACCCCAAAATGTTATTTTTAGGTAATATATTCACACCCTGACCTCATAAATGTGTGTGCAGGCATGAACACAGCTAAGATTAATTGACTCCTTTATTTCTGTCAGCTTCTCTGTTTTCTTCTTCTCAGTCTCTTCAGAACATATGTAACTGACTGTTTTTTTGTTTCCATAAAATAAGACCTACTCTTCTGTATACATACATCTCCCTATCTGCACATTTGTGACACAATTAATTTTATAAAACCTCTACAACTCTCAAATAATGGCTGCCTCATAATTTTCATAACTTTCTGGACAAATGTTGAATGCTGAATTAGGAATCACAGCACTCGGGACACTCCCATAAGTGCTTTATCCCCATCTACAGCAGCAAGCGAAGCGTTTCGATTCCAATGGCACCAGTAACCGTCTGCTCCTTCCCCTGAGTGTTGAGCGTCGGCCAAATTCACTGGTAACTCCTCGCAGCGCCATTCTCCTCAGACCGTAATGATCTATCTGCGCCTCCTCACTGTTCACTCGTTCCCTAAGGGCCCTCACAACATCCAGCTTGTCATACATCAATTCATCACCAAGAGGTGCAGAGCCGGCCAGTCTATCTGCCTGCTCAGTTCAAAACACACCGACATGACCTGGATAAAAATATCCAAAGGATACTAACTACACAGGACATCCTGAAGTGATGCTTGCCACTCTGCATGAAGCATGCCTGTCTTCACCTTTCTCAACATACTCTGTGAGTCAGTTACAATCACAGCATGTGTGTACAGCTGATTCTCAAGCCAGCGGACATTTCTGGAAATTGTCTAGTAAGAGATGTAGTGAAAAAAAAAAAAAGAACTAGTCACTCTACCTCAATATGCTGTTTCATCATCATGCAGCAGGTCCTCTGCAGAACATTGCTCTCCTCACCGTCTGCATGAAAGAAACTGTCTATCAGCTCTCCTACCTAATGCACTTTCCTACCCAGGGTGTTACTGATATCCTATGCTCATCTTTGTGCTGGTCAGTCCCTATCCCTCTTTCCTGGTACTAAAACTTCTGCTTTATTTTTTCCACATCAACTGTGGTGCTATATAAAGCCAAAATATTTCAGTTACTGATGACATGATGCTGTTTACCAGCCAATTTCCTTTGACGTTCAGATCATTTAGGAAGCCAGTACGAGTATGCTGTTTACCATGTCCAAATAAAATTCTTGTATTTCACACCCCTGTGTCTAATGTGGTGCTTCTTCCCCCCCCCCCCCCCCTCCCATTTCTGCTATGTTCAATTGGACATATAGTGCTAGGCTTATATTTTTTAAAGACCAGTTGGCACTAGAACGGTGATTTTGGCCAGCATCATTCCACTCAACTTTATTTTCCAGGAAAATGGATAAGAGCCCAGATACTGCAGCCTAGATGTAAACCACAACACAATGTGCGAACTACTCTGTTAAGGGTAAATGCAGAAAAGAGTAAGAAAAAGAAGAAGAAGAAGAGGAGAAGGAGTAGGAAGAAGAAGAAGAAAATGAAAAGGGAGATGAAGAAGAAAAGGAAGAAGAACCAAAAAAGATCATTTATTAACTCACTTGACACCCTCTCCTTTCTGCTCTCCTATAACAGCCTGGACCACAAATTTGTACCTATCATAACCCATTTCTGGAAACAAACAAAAAATTACATGTTATAACTTGTGGATAAAATGTGCAACATGTATTATCACACTACCAAAAAATCAATAAAAGCACTGAATTCATTCAGTGCCATCTCCACAATTATGGTTAGCCACAATGAAGGAATCAATCAATCAAGAAGTGACATCTCTACACCTAGGACATGATTGAAGGAGTAAATGTTAGGTAGTCTCATGGCACAAATGCCAAAGGCAAAAAATTAACACAAAACTGGATGAACTCAAGAGGACTGAAGAAATCAGAGTAATGTCTGGACAACCACTAGTAACAACAGTTATAAGACAAAGACAATGACACTGTACTGGACACACTCTGAGAAGAGACAGGGAATTACCAAGCAGGCACTGAAATGGGAAAGTGAGATACTAAGAAACGAGGACATCCAAAAGTAATCCTAAAGTAAACATTGACGAGAGAAGCCAATGGCGCTAGACTGAATTCAGTCCAAAATTCTGAAGTGATTGCACAGATGGAATGTAATGGAGAAACAGCCTGCGGGCCAAATGTGACAAATAAGGTGCAACAGGACAATAAATAAGTAAATATAGGCTGGGTCGACCTGAAAACCCAAGTCTTTATTTTTAAATTGGTCCTGTCTGGAATCTCACCCCCAATAACTTCTGGGCAGTGTTTATTTAGGGATCCAATGGACCATTTGTTATGGGGTAAGATGTGTTGCTAATGTAGAGCTTTGGGAGAGTTCCAGTGAACCAACAGGTGAAGAAAAGATGCTGGCATTGGATAGGTAACACTTTTAGAAAACCTGAGAAAAACATAACTAGAATGTCTTCGCACTGAAACCCATAAGGGCATAGGAATAAAAGAAGACCAAAAGGCACATGGAGAAGGGAGCTAGAAAGTGAAGTTAAAAATGTCACGGAGTGAAGCAACTAAACCCTACACAGTAGACTAGTCGTGATGTTGACGCCCCTAGCGAGCAGGTCACATTTCAAATTTAAACCCGTCCGGTGGGTATATAGTCCCTCATATCGATATATACCTCTATCTGGTGGAATAGATATTTCTATACCCTCTAGTTGTTTTGAAAAATCTACATTTTCAAACTTGCAACTGTGGGATAGATATTTTCTGGAATAATATTCTGAATTCCTGGAAACCATTTTACTCCTTGGCACACTAATACAGGACTTTTTTTTCTAGAGACACCAAGCGAGATCAGGCGGGGTCATTCTTTGCCTGACTTCTTAGGTGTGCAGAAGCATTTCACTTCTCTGATTAAATCTTGGCGCATTCAAAATACCAGTTTAATCTTTGAAGGATTCCTAAGATTGGGTAAGTTGATTATAGTTTACGAGTACCATGATATATATCTCTATAAAGTTAGCCGATGCTGCAGGGAGGAAAGATTCAGCTGTGTGACCGCACAGAGCTAGGCCGTTCTTGGTGTCCAGACACTCAAGCCCCTGAAATCAAACCTTTCCCTTCGCAAGCTGATAGTTTGTGCCTTACTTGACCCAATACCATTATAAATATATTAAACTTAGCAAGTTCATTATTCTGTAACGAACCGACCGAGTTTGAGTTGATAAGCGGACCTATTTAACTGGGTCACACTTCAGCCTACAAGACGCTGTGACGTCAGAGGTTAATTTTAGCAGACACAACAAAACAGTGTGTGCGATGAGCAGACTGGGGATGGTATAAAATATATATTTGAGAGAGAGATGGGATGTATATCTACAAGTGCAGGGGTGGGCGAGGAGAGTTGATGTTCTATGTTTGATAGAGTCTATCTGTCTCCACTCAGGTACTCGTCTCCTGTCCCTGTTACTGACTGACAGGCAGAGATGATATTTGGAGACTTATACTGTCTCATTATCCTGAGAGCTGTCCTATGAATGATTACTAATGTGGATGTTAATAAACTGAGCTTGACATGTAACTTCTGAGATGACTGCTAATTCTGAGTTCCTTCTTGATACAGGATGATATCTCCTTGGAGGCCAGGCAGTGAATCGGCGGTCCACAAAACCACCAACAGGGAAGTCACCCATGTCTAAGCCAGTGGTGGGCATCAGATTGTAAACCAAACTTTTGTCAGCCATTAAATGAAATCCTACAGTTGATCTACAGACAACATTATGGGTGTTGTACCTTCACCATCATTTATCCGGAAGCTTGTTTGTGCCTCAAGTGATTGACTTGATATCCGAGATCCTCTCCAGGAGCTTGGGTGTATTTCCAGTGTTCGAGTGTCTAGTGTGGGACTGTCTTCAACGTAACCACAGAGTGACTGAACATCCAGCAAGTTCAAGAAACCAGGGATTCAGATAAGTGTGGTCAATCGTTGGTTTATTGCCAGGCTTCACTATTATTCGTCCACATGATCAAAATGATGATCTAGGCGGACTTTTGGGGAATCTCTTACACAATCAGTCAGATCTGTTTTGAAGTTTTGGTCCTACATATCACTCTGGGTTCTTGAAGTTCTTTGCTGATTCTTATATAATGTATGTGTTGCATTTATTACATGTTCAGAAAATTTCATTATTGACTTGAGTATTCATCATTCACTGTTCAAACTGGCTAGCTTTTCTGTTTGTGTGATTAGTAAGTGTAATCTGTGTTAACATGGCCATGATAGTACACTATCATAGCCTGGGGGCTATCCTTTTATAGTAGTGGGGGTGTCCAGCCAAGTTGTCCCTAGGATTATTAGATATTCTGTAGTGCCAGAACTTGAGTTGCCCTACTCCTGAAATAAGTTGAGCGTATATTGGCCACGGGATATCCCTTAGACCAATTCGAGCCAACGCCTCAACATTATTTTATTTCAGAGTGCTGTTGGTTTTTAAGGAGAAATCCTTAAATCAGGCATGCGACACGAGCGGTATGTGACAAAAAAGATGGTGAGGACATGGGAAGAACTGCATGCAATAGCAAAGGATAGAACGACTTGGCTTGAGTTGGTTTCCTAAACTCCTTAGTTTTGGGCGAATTAAAATAAACAAAATTTTAGAAACAGGAAATACAATAGCGACTCGTGATGTTTGCCTCAGAGAGCCATGCTGAAGAAATAAAATGAACAGAGAGCAAGGGAAAGACCACACAAGAGATGGAGCGACATCATCAGGAGCAACCTAACAAAATTAACACCAACTTGTACAATGCACTGGAAAAGCACACAAATGATCTAACACCACACTGAGGTAAATGGTGGAAGAGATGAAGAGGAAAAAATAAAATAAAGTACTTCCCTCGAAGTCGGAGTACATCTGCCGGAGAGGCAGGGAACGAGGACTGCAAACAAATAAGCCAGTAAAACGGATGTACACGCAAAACTCAAGTCAAGGTAAAAGCCAAAAGTCCATTTGGACGAACAACCGCGACTTATCGCCGGAATTCACAGCCGGTGAACAAGAAGAAGAAGAAGAAGAAAAAATAAAGTACCGGTTGTTTTTCTGAACTTTGATTCTGTTCCAGGTCTTCAGTTTTGCATGGACATTTCAGTTACATGTGTCTTATTTGTGTGCAGATTATTGTTTCTTCATCTCTAAGGCATATGCACTCTGACTTACAAGAAAATATTTAAGCTATCAATCTTGGCCAGGCTGGGAACCTGTTTCTCGGATGACCACGAAGAGATGTAGATATGAGCCCTCGTTTTGGTGCACCACAACCACACATGGTTCAGCAGTTCTGCTTCTTATAAGATTACCCAACTCCCAGTATGGGTTCCAGGGCCCCGTTGTGGGGCAAACAAGAACATACCTTCTGCTCATCCAACAAGCATGTTGTCGGAGTCTATTAATTGGTAGCTTCCTTTAAAGTCACAGTGCCTGAGAGGCAAGGAACTAACTAACTGCATACAGATGAGTCAGATCTTCAAAATGGATGCGCAGGCAAACCTAAGGTTCTGCACCAGGACTAGATTCCAGAAGTGGAAGAACAACCAGAAGCTTCACTAGAGTTTACAGCTGGTGAACATGAAGAAGAAGAAATATTCAGTTCCCCGTGTGGGTTCCGGGGCCCTACTATAGGAAAAACAAGAATAGGCCCACTGCACAGCATGTCGTAAGAGTCGACTAATTGGGAGCTTCCTTCGAAGTCTGAGTGCATCTGCCTGAGAGGCAAGGAACCAACAGTCTGCACACAATTATGTCAGATCTGTCAAACGGATGCACACGCTACACTCAGGTTCTGGAACAGGACTGCAGTACAGAAGTAGACGAACAACCAGAACTTTCCGCCAGAGTTTACAGCCGGTGAACGAGAAGAAAAAGAAGAAATATTTAGTGTTGGTAAAAACCTCAATCAAAGTGTCCTGTCGGTAAGCCGGAACTGACACACAGTCAACAATGATCATCAAAGAACAAAAAAGAAACAACCTTTCAACCTGGACTTGACAGCATCTGAGATTTCTTTGGTCCATACAGTTGTGTCTTCAGGACTGTAGGATTTTCCTTGTAGCTTTTCTGTAAGTACCAGGTGTATGACCTCCTTCACTGCAGCTGGACGAAACCTTGTTGGGAGAAACACGGTCACAACATATATGTTATCCATGAACTGAATCTCCAGAAGTAACTTAAACAATATTTTAAAAAAACTATGAATGAGAGGACCAACCAAAGGTAAAGAAAAAAATTTGCACAAATACAAAGAATATTTTATCCAAAGCCTTTATCCACAAATTTAAAAAAAAAGGAATCATAAACCAATAATAAATGCCTAAAAAAATCACACAGTATTTATAACAGGAAGACAAAAGTATTTGTGATTTCCAAGAAAAGAATAGTGGCTACATTTATAATAAAAGTCATAAGCATTTTTTTAGGACAAGTATAGACATTTAGGTATCTAGGCACATGGATAACATCCAACGGAAAATGTATGACAGAGAACAAGAATATAATAGGACAGGCCTTAACTACATTTTATAAAAAAATAAAAAAGCACATTTTGTGCAATAAATCCATGTCACTGGAAGTTAGGACAAGAATTCTTGCATGCTATATTGAGCCAGTTTCAACATACGGCTGTGAATCCTGGACAATTAATAAACAAGTTGAACAAAACCTTGAGGCCACGAAGATGTGATTTTACAGAAGAATCTTTAGAATTCCTTTAAAAGCTGAGAAGAGCAACCCAGATATTTTGAAAGAGGCGTGGCTCGAAAACAACTTCTCACAAACATCAGGAAGAGAATCATTATTTTTTGGTCGTGTTATGAGATGAGGGAAACTAGAACCTATTGTGACCATTGGAATAATCTGTGGAAAGAAAGACAAAGAAGGACAACACAAGACAAATCGTGACAGGCTTTTGTCATGACATGGAAGGGTGTCAGCACATGAACTGATACACGCAGTTGCTGATCGCAGATTCTGGAGAGGTATGATTGCTCATGTCAGTGGCAAGGCACCTGATGACGATGATGATCCCTAACTGAGGTAGTAAAGCAGTGGCTAGCATGCTGGCCTTTTAGTTTAGGCTTGTAGTCTTAAGGCTGATGAATCATGAATCCTTATCCTATTGAGACCCTTCCCAGCCTAAAATTGGCACAGGACCGAACTTCATGGGAAGGTAAGGTGGTCGGCACAATATTAGATACATCAGTATTATTAACCAAACCAAATTAGACATCTAAAGAATAAAGAAAAGACGTTTCTGAAAGTAGAGATCCACAAATTGAAATTGCAAGATTAAATTAAAATTACTTCTGTGAAAAGTTGGGTCGAATTATATAGGTGTTTTCAGAACCAGTATGCCTTTTGGTAGAAAATACAAAATCGCTTTCGGCAAGTGTTAATCCAACTCCTGGTGCGTTAGATTGCTTTCGTGGATCGTCTACCTCAGCCATTGTTCAGATTTGTTTGTTACTATTTAGATACGGGATGAACACAGAATATCAACATCCGCGATTTTAAGAATAAAATATGGCGTGCTTAGCAACGGAAGTTGTTATTCACCAGACTAATAATAAAAAAATGTTGCAGAAGCAACGAAAAAAAAAGATGTTCTCAGACGCTTGTGAAAGTTAAGGTGACCAACAGCTCAATCGATAGATCACACTTTGTTGTTGTTAAAAACTCCCCAATTCGGACTACATATTATTTCCTAAAAGTTTTGCGGGGACCCAATATAACTGTGCTATATGTCTATAACGGTTGAACGAGATTTCTGGCTTTTATACCTGTTTGATTCTCATCCTTGAGATGCTTATCATATAGGCTGCAATCCTAGAGAAAAACAACCCCCCCCCCTCTCTTCCCCCCCCTCTCTTCCCCCCCCCCCAAAAAAAAATTGCTGATTGCCACACTCCTTACTACACAGGACTACAATTGAGCTATACAGATTTCTCTGTTTAACCTCAAAGAAGGTTATACAACTACTGACATAAATGTTACATGTCCCCCATTTTTAATTTCATTTCTCCGGGTGGTTGAAAGGGAATCTATCTACCCGTTTGGCCTGCCTTCCAATTCCACACTGTGTAATCCCAGTGTCAAATCTCCAGTGAGCAGCCGAGAGGGGAAAAAAGGCACACTCTAGCGCTCTTTATTGTATTCTTCTTCTTCTTTGTGTTCACCGGCTGTGAATTCCGGCGAAAAGTCCTGTTTGTTCGAACAATTGGACTTTTGGCCCTTCACTGTAATACTAATAACTAACGATCACCCATCCTCACACTGGACTGCAGGTTACTCTATGTCAGTGGTTCTCAACCTTCTCAACCTGCCACGACCCTTTAATACAGTTCCTCACTTTGAGGTGACCCACAACCATAAGATTATTTTAATTGCTACTTTATAACTTCAGTGAATATATGTTTGCCGATGGCCTTAGTCGACCCTTTGAAAGGGTTGTTCGACCCCTAAAGGGGTTTGACCCACAGACTGAGAACCGTTGCTGTACGTGATCGCAGGGGAACCCCAAAACAGCTGTTAAAGGTTCAACAGCGTTTCTGTGACTCGCACCGGTTTGACCCCCCCCCCCCTTTCCATTTGTTCTTTCTACCTTTGTGTGTTTGTGTGTGTGTGTGTAAAGGTGTTATCCTAAAGACACCAATCACTAGGATTGGTAGGGGGGGGGGGGGGGGCTGTACAGTTATCACCAATAACAATTTCATTACTAAGAAGACACAAACAATAGATTACACATTTTATTGTCCGGCATATTTTGTTTCATATCGTCAGGTGCATACCAGGGTAACAATTGATCAAAATTAAGCTTTCATTTGATTACTCTTGGATATTACACTATCCAGTTTTGGCGTCGTCTCAACAAAGCGATTGCTCATCTGAAAGTGTCACACAGCACGAAGGTCAGTAGCTGTAAGGACAATGCTCCAGAGTAAAAATAAAAAGGGAAAAAAGGGGGTGGGGGTGATTGGACTGATCACCCACCAAATCTGTCTTGAGATAAAATTCGAAATAGTCTTATTTCTCTTGCAGTATCTTGTATTGGGTTATCGTTGCCTTTGTATAGGGTTGCAAGGTTTTAAAAAATACAAAATACAAAACTAATTTCCTGGTGCTATTTTACCCCCTTCCCTTTTTTACACACACACACACACACACATACATACACACACACACACCCACCCCCACCCACCCACCCACACACACACACACACTCACACACACACACACACACAAGAAAAAGCTGAAACATTTTGGTCATATCAAGGGCTATGGCGGACTGGAAAAATAACAGCAGAAGGCTCGGTACCATGAATGTACAGGATGTAAGTGACTCCTTGATTATGAAAGTATACGAGACGTGAGAGCTGGCAAGAGACCAAGTTTCTTTCAGGCAGACCGTGATGAGAGCGATGTTCTGCAAAGAACCTTTTACGTGATTATTGCGATGATTTTACATAGAGGGCCTTCATACTGCACGGACAACTCGTGGTCTCTACCAGATCTTTTTTGCCAGAAAAATAGTACCGGTGCTTACCCCGAATTGCCTTTAAAAAAAATATGTCGGTACTCACAATAAAGTGTCTATTAAGTAGAGCCGAAACAAATCAGGCTTCAAAAGGTTACGGTACCGCACACCCACGTCCGGCTGCATATATATTCTGCATATAAATCTGGAGCTGGCCGTGCGCACACCCTGCGCCAGAAACAAATGTCGTCGTCTCTAAAAATACCAGCTTTGCGCTAGGGATTGGCCTTTTTTCGCCATGGGCTGTGATTCCCGAAACGGGACATCCCGAACAGGTCAGTTCCCCCCCCCCCCCTTTCCCCACCACAAACGCACACCATTTTTTCTTGTCACTTGGTTCTTTGTCGGCTCTGTGGCTAAGTCGATGCGAACGCTTCGTAATGCCGGGGTGCTTGGTTCGATCCCAGCTGCGGGCCATGCGCCTTGCGTTGGTTTCGACAGTGGTATCAGGGGAAAAGGGGGGGGGGACAACCGTCCAGTATTTCAATGGCAAACTACTGGACGTGAATTTGCCTAGAGAAACCATACAATTGCCAAGGGCTGCTGGGGTTGGTTCTGCAACGTGTTGTAAAGGATACGCAACTAACCTTGTTTCTTTACTCGCTCCACAATGGTATTAAAACCAGAACCAATGCCACCTTGAAATAAAAGAATCTAAAAAAAAACTATTTAATCTTATTAGGTGTACTGAAATAAATGTGTCTTCTATCTCGAACTGAATCCTAGATTTGTATGAAACGGGAGAATAAGCGTTGAGTGCCGAATGGAGGCTAGGGTACATCTAAAAAGGGACCGTCCAGGTGAAAACAGAACGTTTGGTCACTCTACACATAACAGAATAGTACACTGTCGCCAGGAAAGACGTTATGTTTGTTTGTTTGAGTATCCAGAAGCCATGAGTTGTTAGCCCTCAGGCTCGGTATTATGGATATCGCAACCTTTCGGCCTTGATTCAGTTGTAAATACCGTAAATCTGGGAGAAATGTGGCTTTTCTGCCTACCCCCGGGAGTGAACCCGGACCACAAGGAGTTCGTCACCCGGTGTCCGCGCAATCAGATTTACCGGCTGATAGGGGTTTCTGGGACCTCTCCACGGGTGATCCACATTCGCATGGTAGCACTTTGTATCACAAGGTGTTAATCGCTTTTGTGATGTTTTGGTGGGGTACAACTACCTATCTACCTTACGTGTTTGGTCAGCTGTCAGATGCAACAGGAAACAACCCCACCCCTCCCCAAATAACCCACAGGTATTAAAGAGCCGAGGAACACCTTGGTTTGCGAACAATAAAAAATTGTCACATTCAACCAGCATCCCTGAAGAAAAAGCTTCTGGTTATAATTGTGACTTGGTTTATCTGCGCTATTTAAAATGGCTTAGCATTGCTCGCCACCAAGTAGCCCTGAAAAAGACCAATGCAGTGTTGAAGCGATCAAAAGACACATACCCAAATACTGCCCTGTCCGACGACAAATTCGTCTTCCTGCCAGCCAATGGGCGATCCGTTTGCCAAGCGTCCTGGAGACCACATTTCTGTCTTTAGATATTTTATCATTTACAAACTTTTGTTCTTGTGATGTACTGTTTAATTCTTCACTGTTTTTTATTACACCTATCTATGCCCAGCATGTTTACTATTGTCATAAGCCTTTTGCAGCGGGTTATATATTCATTATGGGGAGAGAGTCCGTTGGAGTTCATGTTTCATGCAATATTGTAAACAGTTATTTATATTCATTACTAATGTATTTTCTGAATAGTGTCCCCTGTAAAACACACCTGATGTACAACCTGGTGACGTCTGTTGCGTTGACTGTCAGGTGTGTTGCGGAAGTTGGTCGTTTGGGGACGGGACATTCCCAGGCTGACTAACAAGCCATCGACCTATCAGAGTTTGTGTACTTTTGTTTTCTTGCGTGATTTTGTACCGTGATGGATTCATTTCAGTCAGAGTAAACTCCCAGATAGCACTTTCCAACATGACAGGTAAGACAATAGTATTTTTATTTATAATTGTTACGCTATTGTTTACTTCTTGTAAAGGGAAGCATCTACGGATATTTTAATCAAATAATTATTCATTTATTTTTAAGAAGTATTTCATAACTAATAACTTGCTTGTATGGGTGTGGCTAAAAAGAAAAAATCTTGCTAACATATTACTGTGGGAAGGTGAAAGTGGAAATGATTGAATACGTCAGCAACATTTGATTGCGCTTTGAAATGTTGACAACTTGATGGGTTTGATAATAATACCAAAACAGTGATTCATATAAAAGAGGGATTTTCCCGATAACAGTTATGGAACCTGGGTCGAAGCAACTATTAGGGGAATATATAGGCATCTCAAGTTTCTTAAAGACAGAAGTAAATTAAAAAAAAAAATAAAAAAAAGAAGATAAAGGGAATTTAACATTTCAGCACGTTAAAATGTGACCTAATATGTGTTAATAATCTCTGTCACTTCACTTCCTTCTTTTTAATTTCTGCAGACCTTGTTTTGACTTTCACATTCTAAAGAGGCATCTCCTGCTAGCCTTACCTGGGCTCCGTAGATTAATTGCTAGATAGTATTAGTTCGTTAAAGTTAGTTGTGTGTTCTCTTTAGGCTGTCCAAACCAAACCCAGCATTTGTTGGCGGTTGTGTGGTTTTTTTTAGGCACTTTTACATTCAGAAGTTTGCCATCGCTTTCTAAAAAGTACGACACTGACACATGTCAGAGTTAAGGAAGGCGCCCCTATAATAATATTTAATAATATCAGCGAATAAAATCTGTTTGGCTGCAGCCTATGTTTTAAAAGTAGTAACTTAGTATAAAGGTCAAGATATGAAACGCAACTTGGACAGGTGTGAGAAATGAAGCTAAAGATGAAAGTATTCAGCGGGGAATTGACATTATTGACTTCCAGCA